ATATGGAGACATTATCTGTTGGGAACCAAGTTTGTGGTTCGGACAGATGTGGTAGTGATCTATTTCACTACACAGAATAAGCCTACCACGAAGCGGGCTCAGTGGCAAGAGTTCTTTGTTAAGTTTAATGTGACCTTTGAACATAAGCTAGGGCAACACAATCAGGTTGCAAATGCTCTTAGTAGGAAGATTGTAGGCAAGATGGTAGTGGAGACTGATTCTTTCACCAGATCAAGCTAGAAACCCAACATGACCCTATCACATAGAAGTTGTTCCAGTAGGTCCAAGAGAGAACAATGTGGAGATTCTAGATAGAAGATAGGGTATTGTATATTAAAGGAGGTCGTGTATATGTACTAAGTATTGGTGGGTTATTGTGTGAGTTGATGAAAGAAACTCATGACACTATTGGGTTGGACATCGAGGTTAAGAGAGAACATTGGCCCTATTGACCAAGTTCTATTATTGGCCAAAGATGGAAGCATATGCGGAACTATATGTGAGTACTTGCTTGGTATGTTAGTAGGACAAGGCGGAGAGAAAGAAGACTCCAAGCCTATTATAGCCATTACCCATCCTTGATCAGCCCTAGCAAAGCCTATCTATGGACTTCATTACGAGCTTTCCCAAGGTGCAGGGCCTTACATCAGTAATGGTCACAGTAGACCATTTCACTAAGTATGTCATATTCATCCCGACTCAAGTTGAGATACAACATCTCAACTCTTCTTCAAACACATTGTAAAATATTAGGGAGTTCCTAAAGATATAGTCATTGATCAGGATGCTCGATTCATTAGGCCATTTTGGACAGCATTGTTCGGATTGTTGGGGTCTGAACTCAAGTTCTCTACAAGCAATCATCTACAAACAGATGGTCAGACAGAAGGGGTGAATGCCTAGTTGGAGGAGTATATGCACCACTTTGTGACAACCAATCAGGGGAACTAGGTGGATGTGTTGGACCTGATGTAGTTTTTCTACAACTTACAATAGAGCTCATCAACAGGTATGAGTCCTTTTGAATTGGCTACAGGACATCAACCACAAACCCCTCATGGGGTGGCAAAGCAACTTTCTAAGGGGAGGTGCCTTGCAGTCCATCGGTTTTCCAGGAACAAACAAGAGTTATTGGATGAGGCCAAAGATAATTTGGCTAAAGTGATGAAGCGAATGAAGAAGTGGGTAGACCAGTACTAGCAGCCCGTGGAGTTCTAAGATGGGGACCAAGTCTTGCTAAAGTTAACACCTTCGATATGGAAGAAGATCAGTAGCAAGACAGTACATAGAGGTTTGATACCTAGGTATGATGAGTGATTTATAGGATGAAGCTTCTAAATAGGCTAAAGATCCACCCAACATTCCTTGTTAGTTTTTTAGAGAAGTTCCACCCTAACTTGCTGAACCAGTCAAGGTAGGCACAAAGGCGAGCTCCCTTGGTGATCATCAAGTAGTTCGAGAATGAAGTGAAAAAGATACTGGACCACAAAACTCTCGGACAAACCAAGAAGAAGCAAAGGGCATAGTACTTTATAAAGTGAAAGGGACTTCTAGTGGATGAGGCTACTTGGGAATGGGACATGACCTTGTAGCAAATTGAAAAATAGATCCATGAGTACTTGTAGTCAATTCCGACAAGGATTTTGGGTTCTTCTAGTGGGGGTGGTTTGTCAGCTCCATAGGCATCTAGCAAAGCTTTGTAGGCACATGCCACTAACAAGCTTGATTTAGTAAGGGCATATCCGATCCAATCCGTTAAGAAAATCCAACTAATTCAAATCTGATAAGGATCTGTCTGATTTTCAAAAGCATGATTCAAATTCGAATTTGAATGTATTATCAGATATCCGATTCGAATCCAATTCAATTAGAATTATATTTATATTATGTAATATAAATAATATATAATATAATAATATATTAAAATATATAATATATAATTATATAAATAATATATAGAATATACATATATATTATCTAAATAATATATAATATATAATATTCCATAATTAATGGATCGGATCAAGTCACAGCGGATCGAATCAGCCAATATCCGAATTTGATCCGTTAAGTTAACAAATCGACTTTTCCGATCCAATTTGATTTGTTAGGATCAAGAGGGATATCCGAATCCGCCTCTTAACAAATCGGTATTGGATTTGAATCGGATCTGAACTGACTTATTTGCAGCCCTAGCACCCAACACAGAGGACCTAGGTGTGCTACGATGCACATTGGCCATGGGCAAGTAGGCGGGCAAACATGTCATAATGCACAAAAGAAAATTTCTAGCTCCACCATTAGCAAATATATGTCACTATTTTCAAATTATTCAGCCCGGAAACCATCTAGACAACTAATTCCGTTTCACCCTTAACTCATTCTTTGTCCAAAAACCATTAACTTTGTCAGCGACCCATTGATCCAAATGATCAAACCATCGACCCATTAAACCCAAACAACAATTTTTTGTTATCTTAATTATTTTTTTACTTTTTTAATTTGGAACAGACCCATTCATCCCAGAAAGCAATGGCCAAAGTGGTTCTTGTTCCAAGTCGGTTTTTAAAACATTGGTATATATCATGTTGGAAGATGTATGGGTAGCAAATCCAAACTCAGGTTACTTTTTGGGAAGGCTATTTTAAATTTATTTGGTTTTAAGTTATGGGCCCATATGCACAAATCTATGATCTATATATATTCTAACAATAAAATAGGTGTACAGTCATGCATTCTCCTTCCAAGAAGCGGTATCCCACATAGAAAAACCACTAAACGTGTGAAAATGAAGAAATTACAGGAATGTCACATAAAGACAAACTTTCCCATATAATTGACTTTAAGGTATTCTAAAATTACAAAGCGTCACATATAAAACAAATTTACCCTCTTTAAAAATTGTCTTTATAATATTTGAAAACTATAACATTGCCACATATAAGACAAACCTTTCAACATAATTGATTTTATGGCATTCAAAAATTATAAGAGAGCCACATATAAGACAAATTTACTTTCTTGACCTTACTATGTAATTGTCTCTATGATATTCGAAAATTACAGGACTACCACATATAAAACAAACCTTCCAATGTAATTGACTCTATGACATTCGAAAATTATAGAAGTGTCATATTTAATTATTTATGATTATGTCGTCCTATAAAATAAAATGCAATCCCCCTTTTCTCGCGCATAATTCTCTCTCTTGCTTAATTCTCTTTCTCAACTTTTATTTATTTATTTATTTATGTATTATTATTATTTTTTTTTATTTTATTATTATTTTTATTTTTTATTTTATTTTTATTTTTATTTTTATTATTATTATTATTATCATCATCATCATCATCATCATCATCATCATTGTTTAAGCATTTATTTATTTAATAAAAGTAAATAAATTATTTATAAGAGATTTGACTTTGAAAGAAAAATTTTAATAAAAAATTATTTATTTATTTAGAAATTATTTACTAACAAATTGTTTTCTCCCCTTGAGCCCAATATTTAGGGTTATCAACGAGTCGGGTCTAATTCGAGATAGCCTATACCAGTCTCATCTCAATAAACTTTTATTTATTCATTTCTTTATTTTACTTCATTTTATAAATTATTATATAAACATTAATTTATTTAAGAAAAACTAGGGCTGAACCAATGGGTTGGGTCTACCCAATGGAGCTAAATTGATTGAACATAATTATAACGATTATGGTTCCATAATTTTGTCTTGACTAATAATTGGGTGTGTTTTTGTTCTTACTTGTCCAAAACTAATTCATATCCAGGAATTGATTATTTTATGGAAATATATAATTTTTTAGCTTTCTTGTAATTTTTATCATGTTTTTATGTTTGAAATAGTAAATTCGATAGATAATAAATAAGATAATATTAGTTAAAAATGTTTAACTTATTAACATAAAAATAACTTAGGCCCTTTTTGGTTCATGGGAATAGGGGTCTAGAATTGGAACCGGAATGGGTTATTCCGATTCCAACTGTTTGGTTGGGCGAAATCGGAATCTCATTCCCATTCCTGCTAGAATGGCATTCCCCCATTTGAGAGAATAGCCATTCTCTGCCCATCCCTTGGAAATGAAATATAACTCCTGCTGATTCCAATTCCCATTCCCATTCCTATTCTCATTTTTGTCTAAACCAAACAGACTATGGGAATAGACCATTCTGGTTCTGATTCCAATTCCAACTGTGACTGCAAACCAGACGGGCCCTTAGTACTATTTAAATATAATCAGATCTATGATTTTATTTCAATTAAATAACTGGTTCAAGACTAATTCTACCATGAAGTCTACTAATTCTACTTAGACCTGACCTGTTGACAGCTCTAAACGAGACTGAAGCCTACTATAATTATTTATTATTTATAATAATATAATTATAATTATTCTACTAAAAAAAAGTAATCTAATTTATTACTATATCTCTAAATGTAATTTTTCTATTTCACTCCACCGAAGCGGAGGTTCGCCGCTAGAATTGGTAAAAGACAAATTGCAAGCAATTAAAGGCAGGGGTGACTGGCGAGGTCGTTAGGTGCTACCGAAGAGAATGGTGTGGTGTCACGTTTGAATTCAATGTTTTGAATATCGTGGTTAGTCTGATCTAAATATATATATATATATTGGATAGGAGTGATCCGAATTCAACCCTATTTTTAATCGGATCTGATTAGCCAACCCAATTCGAAACAGATATATCCGAATCCAACAATATAGAAGCGGAGTTTGGATCTCCGATCCATTTGCACCCCTACTTGCTTGTTCCAAACAGAGAAATGGTACATCCTGTCACGAATTTTGGAGTAGCTAAGTATAAATTTTAAGTTTAATTATCTACTAAAAAAATATTTGCAAACTAGCTAGATTGATCATCAGTTGGCCTATATATAATGTATGTGTATGCAAATTGGATAGGATAAGTATTATCATCCAAGTTCCATCAATTTCTACTAATAATTAAGTAAACAATTAAAATTTAATTTTAATTTCCAGAGGACCATATTTTAACCTAAAACCGCATCTTGAATTCATTTTTTTATCAAATTGCTCAATCTCCGTCTTGGCTGCTGCTAATTCCTGCACAAGCCTTGTAATTTCAGCCTCTGATTTTCCCCTCACCATTCGTGCAGCCTTTATTTCCTCAGCAAGTGCAGCTCTCTGTTCTTCCAATTGTTTCTTAATCCTAGAAATTGAATCTTCGAGATTTGAATTTACCTGCATGATAACATGGTGAATACTAATGATCTAGCAATTGATTTTACAATGCACCATTTTAGCTATAAGCTGGATAACATTGTAAATGCATTGGGTATAGTTTTAAAGTTTAAACTAGACCTCTTCATGGGCCAGGTTTGTATTGAACTTTTTGTCAAAATTTGAATGGACCTAGTTTAAAGCCCGAGCCCAAGCAGTGTAAAAGGTTCATGGGCCCAACTTGAAGCCCGGCCCATGAACAGATACTTTTAAACAACTTATTTCCTCATCCAAAAAGCAGTGTAAAATGTTCATGAACACCATTTTCTGGAACAAGAGAGGCTCTTACTGATCGAGGAAACCAACTGGGCCAGACCCATTTCAGCCCAACAGCCCAAGGCCACCCTGAATGCCCACAATTCTAAAAACTCGAGCAGCCCGAGAGCAAATCAACCGGGAAAAAAGCCAAGAGACACATCTCTGAAAAAACCAAAAGATCCGAAAAAACTAAAAAGCCCGGGCCGGCCCCCCACCCCTACCCCTTCCCGGTGAGGTATCTTGGCTTTGATGAATGACACCAAGGGGGCAGAATATGATTATTTACAATTTACTTATTTTTCTTACTTTGATTTGCTTAATGGTATTCACTGTTTTAATAGGTGTGGGGCCCGCATATGCCCAAGGTGTAAAGAACATAGAAAAATCAACTCATAGAGAGGTTATGAATTTTCATTAATAAAGGCTTGTTTGGATTTAAACAACCAATATCCTAGGGCGTTTTTTTATTGGGGAAAGAGAGAGAGAGAGAGAGAATTATGTTGTAGCTACTTCCATATAAGAGCTTAATTTACAATTGGTATAATTGTTTTGGCATTGTCCGAAACTCAAAATAATCCAATAACCCAAACAAGGAATTAATTTAGATAATAAAAATTAGAGATTTATACCATATCCATGATTTGTCCAAGTTGGTTATCGTATGCTTTCCTAAGTTGGGCTTGCATCTTTGACATCACTTCCTTAGCTATTCCTTTTTGCTCAGCTTCTTTCAATTGCTGATTTTGCATCTTAGTTTCTTCCTGTCACAAATTAAAAGCATTATTTATCATTTATAGAATTCACATTAATTAAAAGAACTACTTTTTACTTCACGCAATCCATCAAGGTAGCATCTTTAATTACCTGCAACTTAACAAAATGTTCGTTGGTATATGGTCGTCCATTATTCTGCTTAATGACATTGTTCACCACGAAAAGCAGATTTTGCATTTGTTTATTTCGTTTATTCTCGTCCTTGCTCTTGTTATCAAAAACCACAACTCGATTTTTACATAACCCCATAATTTCCTGCATCAACAAAACCAAAAATTCTTTTTGATTTTTCAATCATAATAAAAGTGTAATTATTAATTGATGCAAATCAATTAAGTTAGGAAAACCATAATTTGAACATTTCAAGATATTTAACAAATAAAATATGCATTTCCATTCATTAAAAGAAAAGAAAAAGGTAAAAGTAATATAATTACAAACATTAACAAAATCTGATGATTTACTAATATACTTTGGTGGCTTTTTTTTTCTTTTAATCCCTAAAGCTGGAGAATTGACCACCTTGGATTTTGTTAGTGTAATAAAAATGTTTTACCCATCTGGGGGCTAAGCCTAAACACTAAACCACTACACAAATAAAATCATACCTACCCAAAAAAACTCTTAGTATGGGTATGTGTAAAGACTAGTCTCTATTTCTTTTTTTTTTTTCTAATTTGGTTGAGCTGCTACAGAAAAATCCGTTCATGATGTTGAGCATCCATGTTCTAGACTTCTAGATAAGCTATTTACAGTAGTTTCATGTTTTAGTCACTTAACTGTCATTCCGAACGTTCATGTAGGCTTTTCGGATTTTCACCAAACGTAATTTATGGGCTTTCCATGTGGGCCTGCCTTGCAACCTCAGAAATCGCTGGCTGAAAGCCCTCCCAAACATGCACTAAGTAAGAAGCTTTTAGAAAGCTCAAAGAATTCAAAGTGAAAGTGGATAAAAAATAATTAAGTAAAGCTGCACTCTTTGATTTAATTGAGAAGGATAATATTAATTAGATAAATTTAGGGATGATAATTGTATCATATTTTAATTAACATGTCCTATCATGCCATAACTAAATGGACTAGCCAAAAGAAAGAATAAAACCTTATATGTATGGCTTAATCCCTACTTAGCCACTTAGAGTTGCCAATGTTTTTCTAGGGAAATGCATTAGAGACGATAATCCGCTTAATAGGGTTGTACAAATGCAGAATTAAAGTATGATTATGACAATGTTAGACACAGTTATTAATACTGTTTCCAAAATCAGATTTGACCGGATGGTCGGACCGGAAAAACTAGGAATCGGTCACTTGACCGGTTTCGTTTTTCTCCAAAACCGCTTTTTCCCCCAAAACCGTTGATTTTGGTCAGCAAATCACTGAACCGTCTAATTAATCATTCGAACGGTTTTGACCATTTTCTAATTTTTTTAATTTTTTTTTGTCAGAACAGGCCGGTCGTTCGGGTCAAACGATCAGACCGTTCGAACCGATAACCAGACCCCTAACCGGTTCGTTTTTAAAAACCATGGTTATTAATGGCATTCTATCCATTATGAATAGTGCAAGATATCATCTTCAGTAAAAGTATGAATATGACAAAAGTTTATCATGAGAGAACAATTGAAGTTGCTTACATTTATATAATAAATAGAGCAGAATTAAGACTTTCTAAAATTACTAATTCATAAGATCATCAAGAAAGTATGTTTAATTAGACTCTATGGTGTACATTTGTCTTATGCTCTATATGATCCAGCATGTCTCTAAAGACCCATGCCATGAGGACTCTACATATATAAGGTGAGTACCAAAGAATTAAGTGGCCTCAGTAGAAAAAATAGTCCTAAAAAATGTAAAGGCAAAAAATAACCTGTAAAGGCTTAGGGCATCCAATCAAGTAATCTTGCAATGTCTCCTCATCTTTTTCTAGCATATCTCCACCGGTAAAAACAACGATCATGTAATTAACAATGTTTTGATCAAAAAGGTCTTGAATGGTTTGAAATGCAACTTTTTCTTCAACTGAAAAACGAGTTTGAATAGAGTAAACCATAAGAACTGCATGGATCCCATCTTTGGCAAGATCAATACACTTTACAATCTCTTTGCTAACAATGTCTGGTCCAAGTGTAAAATCAAATAGCCCTGCAAAAGTTTATTAGAAAGAATTATATAATAACAACATTTTATATAAATTAAAGAGACAAATTTAGAGGAAACGAAGAAAAACCCTAGGAAAAATTAAGATATACATTTTACTGACATTATTTAGATTTTAGAATATGGGGTATGGATGGAAGTTTAAACATTTTGGCATAAATCAAGTCTATCTAATAATTAAGGGTCCTTTTGGAGATAATTAAGATTGTATGCACGATTGAACATGCTAATGTTCACTTGGATCCCATGTGGCGCCTCATCTGTATTGAACACTGGTGTGTTCACTCGTGATAGGTAGCCCAGCCCAGTGCGTATAAGCTTGTCTTCAGCTCATCCGGACCCCCTTTTCGTTCACATGAATCAGACATAGAATCGGAATTCTAGCTATTTGGTTGGGCAGAATGAGATTCTGATTCCTATTTTTGACGGAATGGCATTCACCCATTTGAGGAAACGGCCATTCCAGCCGACATAAAAAGGAAAAAGAAAAAGACAAGTGATTTAAAAGCCCTAAACCCTATTTTTCTTTTCCCAACACCAATCTTCCCGGCCTGGCCATCCTGTTTGACCCAAACAGGTGGGGGAATAGAGGGTTTTAATTCCGATTTTAAGAGATTTCAATTCCAATTCTGACCGCAACCCGAGTGGACCCTAAAAAGGCTTTCTTAGTATAATGCATCTTCCTATTAGTAACAAAATAAAACATATATAAAGAAAATAATTCAACTAAAATAAACTAACCAGGAGTGTCAATAACATTCAAACGTTTGCCATCTTGTAGAAGAGTTGTTTGCATTTCAGTATGCCTTGTAATTGAACCAGAACTGCGCCTTGCTTTAAATGCATTCCTTCCAAGTATGCTATTTCCAGTTGCACTCTTTCCATTACCAGTGCGTCCAACTATAACCATTGTAATCTCATTTGTTGATGAGCCCATCATAAAAGCCTAAAAGGTACGTCTAAATTATCTGAAGTCTGAACAAATATATATATATATATATATATATATATATATATATATATATATATTAGAAAACAATAAAGAGTTTATTTTAATTTGTCAAATTGTAAAGTTCTACATGAACTGGAAATCATTTAACTCATATGTTCTACAATATGAGTGCTTTTATTTTCATTCGTTTTAGACATAAAAAAAAATATGTTGTTGAACTGTGTTTAATTTTGTTTTAAAAATGAAAAAAAATGGTTTTGTTTCAGAAAACAATACATGTTTAAAATAAAAACAAAATTTGTAATATAGAATTTACATAATTTATGGGACAGGATATTAAATAACCACATGAGAACATGTTCTTCAAACCAGAAATTCATGAACATGTATGATCTTTATTGCATGCAGTTTTGGAAACAAAATTACATTTATAACAAAAGGACATATTCTCTATGTTTTGGTTTTAAGAACCAATTGGTTTTCAAACAAGATAAATCTGATTTAATTTTGGAACTCACAACAAGAAAAATATTTCATATTGGAAAGAACACCCTAAGTCATTTAGCATCATCTATCCATGCAAGTGCATCCACCATGTTCCATGTACATGCCTAAATCAAGAAACAAATAAAAGGATGGTGGATATGAATATATGATAAACTTAACATTCGTCTCCCTCTCTCTCTCTCTCTCTCCCCTATATATAGGTGGCCAAATTCGAACAGACTTAAAACTCTAAACAATCAATAGGAAATAGGGGTTCAATGACATAAAAGATACAAGAAAGAACTTTAGAAATGAAAGAAAATGCATTGATCCTTCATGTAGAAACTATATATATCCGAAGAGTTTAACTTACTTGGAAATCAAGGGATTTGAATTCACATACCTAGCTAAGAAGTGAGTATGCTGAGGCATATATAGTCCACATTTATTAGGGGTAAAAGAAAATGGGAGATGAATGGAGGGTCATAGTCATCCTCATCCATCCATTATTAGTTGGATTGAATTTGTAGAATCTTTTTCTTTTCCTTTGCGTTCAGAATCTTAAAAGCAGTTTTTTTTTCCAGTGTTCACATTTGATTTCTCGCTCTCATTCATCTGCAGAATCATATTCTTGTTTTTGTGATTACAAGATTTCACATTAGAGAAGGATTATGGAATTTAATGATTTAATGGAGAGAGAGAGAGAGAGATTATCATGATGATTTCTGCAATGGTATAGCCAAAACAAAGGCTCGGTCTGGAAGCAGTATAAATATAAATATGTAGAGTGCAAAATCTGTACATATTTGTATTTGTATTCCTTCCAAACTGAGCCAAAATTACTCTTTACTCCAGTACAAATCAGGATCCTTCCTTTTGTCAGTACTCTCCTTCACATGTATTATTCAGCGAGTTAATATTGCCTGCGACTAGACCTGTTCACCAGCCTGGCCCCCGGACGGGATTGAACATGCAAATGAGTCAACGGGCTTAATCTCAGGCCAAAAAGCCCGGCCCGCAATAAATTAGAGCTGGGTTCGGGATTTGCCAAAATAGCCCGGCCCGACCTGACCTATAGACTAAACGTAAAAAACCCTAAGCCGAACCTCTATTCTCTTTCACCTCTTTACTTCTTTCCCCTTAGCCGAATCTCTCTTTTCTTCACATCCTCCTCAGTCCTCACACTCCCAGGCAGCCACACAATCGGCGAGGCGATGAACATTCACCAGCGCAACAACTCCGACAGTGAGTCCTCTCTCTCTCTCTCTCTCTCTCTCTCTCTCTCTCTCTCTCTCTCTCTCTCTCTCCTTCTTCTTCTCACTTCTCTTTCAAATCTCAGACACCGGTGAGGGGGCGAATATAGGCACCAGCAACGGCAGTGAGTTCTCTCTCTCTCTCTCTCAGACGTGAACTGACACACTTTTCATTTTTAAAATCGCAGCTCACCGCAAACTCAGCTCCAATGAACACAGTCACCGGCGGTGAGTAAAAGCCTGGGCTCAGGCTTCGGGCTTTTTATCAGGGCCGGGCTCGGGCCCAAGTTGTAGGCCCGTTGGATTTTGAGAGGGGGAAGTTGGTCAATGTGATTTTGATTCTCATTAACCAAGAAATCTATGTTCCTTTTTCAGATTTATGTGGGGACCAATGAAAGTTTATTTTCATGAGTCCTACATGGGTAAATTAACTTTCCCATCTAGGGGAAAGTTGTCAATACTTCGATAGGACAAAAATGTTCATTTTAATAATAGAATTTTTATGGGTAAGATGATCATTGCCTTATTTACACGGTAAATAAAAGAACATGGGTAAATGTACTTACCCGGGTAAGTCTTTCCTGAGAAACACTTACCCATATAAGTGCATTTACCCAAATAAGTGACTTAATGAAAAGCGAATGGGGCATAAATATTAGTAAGCATGTGGATCAACCCGTAACCAGCCTAATTTCCGATTCCATATATCCCTTGATTTTTTTGCTTGCAAAAAAAAAAAGTGTTGACTTGGTCGGTGACCTAATAATCCGACAGTTGAACAGCTGAACTATTGGACAATCAATGGGTCATAAGTTAGATATTTTTGTTTTTTTCATTTCCATCGTTGTTAATAATTTTTTGTCATTTGTCATACTTAATTTTATTTTTGTTTTATATAATGAATATATTATATTAGATATTTGACCAATTTCTTTACAGCTTTTTATAATTTTGTATATATTTTATATTTTTATTATTTAATTGTAGGAAGTTATGAAGTGACCAATTTAACCTAAATGGTTCAACCACTAACATGCCACATGGAGGGAAAAGTAACTCCATTTTGGGTTATTTTTAAAACGTTGATGTGAATAAATATGAAGGGTTCGACTATGATATGGAAAACATATGATATCTGAAAACTTCTAACCAGTCAACTAGAATCATAAACGTAATAGAGATAATTAAAATGTTAATTGGTGGGTTTTGATTAATCAAAACTCTTCCCATACCATATCTTTTCCACATCATAGATTTTCTCATAAAATATTATATTTTATAGAGGTATTAGAATGTTAATTGGTCAAACACTCAAAACCCATATATTAATAAGAACGCATATCCATCATGGATCCAGATAAGATCCATAGAAGAAAGCCCATGCCCAACCCATTTTTATATTGGTCATTTTATCGATCCAAACCAATTAAATATGGATACAGTATATAGGATCAGATCTGGGTCGACCCACTCCATTCAATATCCCAAAGAAGAAGAGAAAGAAACTGCTGACATGCACTCAATGTATGTGTGTGTGTGAAAGAGAGAGAGAAAGATCATCTTCCTTGAATTCCCTCTACCAATCAAATATAAAGTTCATCATCAAAGGAGAAATCGCAGCTTCAAATCCTGCCTTTTCCCTGGGAAAGTAAGACTAATTTCTGCTTTAGTTGGATTCTATCCTCTCTTACAAAGGTTACAAAGGTTGTTGGTGGCAGCCACCACATCGCTAATGACCATTGAAAGTCTTCACCTATGTTTGGGGTTTGGACTACAATGGGACAGACCAAATTCAAATTCATCCATGGGTTAAAGTATCGACGCACCCCGCCTATCCTCTGAAACAGATCAAAACCTAGTTTAAAGTATGGATACTTTACATTGACCATACTACAATCTTTACGTTCTCTTTCTCCTCCACGAGCTTTTGCCTTATCTTTGATATGTTATTTTACTTATTTGTATTAATACCAAAAACCTGCTGTTATCAGTTACCAAGTGTACTTGCGATAACAAACGTATATTTGAATTTCATCCCAGTATATTTTGTGAGGGAGAAATGCAAACAAAGAATTTTTCTCTGATGGTAGAGTGGCCATGGGCCCTTGTTTGATCTTCAATATGTTGGAATATGCAATGGCCATGTGATAAGCCACATATTGATGAAAGATGATTATTTCATGGATTTAGTATATCATGTTTTGTTGATGGGTTTAATTCTTTACTTGTAAAATCTAATGTCTCGGCTGTCTTTCTTACTTCCATACTACTATATAATCTGATGATTAGAATACCTCTCTTTTGAATTTTGTAGCGCACAAAATGACAAAATATAATTTGAATACCATGTTTCAATTCATTCTGTCCCCTCTACCCAACTTAATTGCACCCCCTAAACATGATTTCAAAGCTACACCATCCAGTTCATCTCTTCCAAGAATCATGTTATCGATGTACTACTCACTAAATCATGGTTTTTAAAATCGAACCGGTGATTGAATCGGTCAGGGGTCCAGTTACCAGTTCGAACAAATGGTCTGATCGTTCAACTCAAATGGTCGGCCTGTTCTGACATAAAAAATAAAAAATAAAAAATTGAAAAACAGTTCAAACGATTTAGACAGTTAATGGTTTTGGGGAAAAACGGAAATGGTCAGGTGACCAATTTCCGGTTTTTCCGGTCTGCTTTTGAAAACCATGCACTAAATTACTCATATCAACTTGCTTCACTCAATTGTGTGATCCAAGATCATAGTGGGTTCATCCCCTCTTCACTTGAGGGGGTGACAAGGAATTGACCTCTTCAGGATCCCATTGCTACAAGTACTCCTATCTACTGAATAAAGAAGATTACCACAACAGAATCCCTCTAAATGGCACCACTCATAGCTAGCTATCATGTAAACCATCACAAATTCAAATTATATTAATCTTTTGTCACAAACCAAATAGGGCTGCAAAGACTGATCAAATCAGATATAAGCTAGATTCAAATTTGATGAACTCAAATCAACTCTTGTCTGCCAGATATTATTAATAAAATGAACTAAAATTTACTTTGATATGTATATCATGAACAAAGTATATTGAAAATAAATCCTTTGAAAAACCTGAACCAATAACTCTTTAGTAAATATACATCATTCAAACCAATTTACTAAAAGAGAAAATATAAATTTTAAATAATATAAGAATATCCATTTAAATCGATTCAAATCAAATAGGGGTGGATCCATACTGATCCAATTATGAAAGATTAAATTGGGTTCACCCTTAAACAGATCGAGTTTGAATTTGAATTTTGATAACATTGGAAGCCCAAAAACTATAGAAATATATAGTTATTCTACAAGTATAAATACAGAAATACACTTGTATTCAGATGTACGAGAATTTCATTCAATTCTCGGTTTTGTATGCTGTTCCATTTTATGATTCCAATGTTAAACCCTGCTGGACTTTCTTTTGTTATATACCATATTCAAATTGTCTAGAGTCGAATCCTTTGAATTTCTCTGAAGATCAGACATTCAAGTTTTATAGGCTCTTTGGTCTGTAAAAGTCACGTAAGACATCTAGGACACTATATTGTTAATGGCCGTTCTCCAGTCTTTATTGGGGGCATGTTGTATTCCCTCTATTCTAATTGAATAAAAGAATCTGATTTTGATTTAGGCAAAACCTATGGTGAATGAATTGCACCATGAAGCAAAAACTATGTACAAGGGATAAAACCCGTTACAGTAGACTTAGTCAACAACCCGATGATTTGACCAATTGAACCACGGAGTTATTTGACCCGGTCAATGGATCACTAGCTAGACATTAATTCACTTTTTTTTAACTGTAGTAGGATAATTAATAACAGCAATTATTATTTATCACAATTTTAATATGATGAAAAATACAAGTCCTGATATTTCTACAAATTTAATGAATTTTATATATTTTTCTATTTTTATTACTTAATTTATGGGAAAATTTTCAGTTTAGTACCCTGAACTTTGAGGGTAGTGTCAAGTTAGTACCCGAACTTCAAAACGTGTCACTGCATTATCCAAACTTTCAAAAACTGTCAATTTAGTCTAAAACCGTTAACAGACGTTAAGTGGCATGTGAAATAACATAAATGCCCTTTGAACGTCATCTAATTTTCTTTACAATGCCCTTTGTGAAAATGACACAAATGACATGTTTTGAAGCTGAAGGCCGGTGAATATTTAGGTCCTAGTGAAAATTTATTAAAGATGGAAACTATTGAAGGTATTGGTGGAAGAAAGGAACCAGGTGAACTGGTTCAAGTTTTCTCAGCTCAGTTCCAGTTACTGTATGCTGAGGTTGCTCTGATACAGTTATACACTTGTACTAGCTTAAGCGTAACATCAAAAGATGAAAGTTGAAATCAGGTGAAGCATAAATTCTGGGCCACCTTTGTCTTGGAATGGGTTTTTGTCATTCGATTGCTTGTAGAGAACAATGGCCTTTTCTTTAATCTTCCTGTCATGTCCTTTGTTAATTCACGGCCTGTTTCAACTGCAATGAATCTGTAACTTGCTTGAACACAAATCCTGGGTGTCTCTTTCCCTTTAAACTGATTATCTGCATTCTAGTTGTTCGATCATTTTCTCTAATGAAGGAATTAATGGATCTATAGTTTCTTCTTTTAATTTCATAATAGCCAATTGGTACAGAACAATTAAGAACTCATCAGCTGGTTGGTGTGACTTCCAATAGGCATTATGTGAGATGTAACCTATCAAGATTCAAGAGATGTCTCTTAGCTCCAACTACTTGGATTGATTGGCATTGACAGCTAAGTATAAAGTGTTGTCTTCTTTCTATATAATAAAGCAAGGAGCTCATCTAAGTCTGTATGCTAGTATTTTAGTCCTTTTCATCTTGTTATTTTAGTCCTTTTCATCTTGTTTCTTGATTCTTCCTCCAATTATAATATCTGATAAAGTTAATGGATAAGCTGGAAGTCACCCCTCACAAAAACCCATTCCAAGACAAAGGTGGTCCAAAACTTATGCTTAACCTGATTTCAACTTTCATCTCTTGATGTTACGCTTAAGCTAGTACAAGTGTATTACTGTATGAGAGAAACCCCAGCATACAGTAACTGAAACTGAGCTGAGAAACCTTGAGCCAGTTCACCTGGTTCCTTTCTTCCATCAGTACCTTCCCCAGGCGGGTCCACCTGGGTAAGCCCAGTAAAGAAAAGCGACTGTTAAACAAGTTAAACCATGAAATTATCTATGATTCAGACTCGAGGTCTGTTATAGATGAACTTCAAGAGATTTCAACAGTCATGGGTAGGCATACAGTAATATATGTTGGAGGAAGTAAGTCGTTTCTGGTTTCTCATCATTCCGTTATTGTTCATTTTGCTCTGCTTTAGTTTCAGTTTCAAGGAAGAATACAATAAATAGTGTTTTTTTAAAAGGGTAATTTTGGAATTTCAGAATGTTACAAATCACATGTGACATCACATGCATCAGTTAACTAATGGACTATTAACGGTGGATACTGAATTGACATTTTTCGAAAGTTTGGATACTAGGTATGTCAGTTACACGTTTTAAAGTTTCAAGTACTAATTTGACACTACCCCTAAAGTTCAGGGTACTAAACTAAAATTTTCCCTAATTTATGGCATTACTAGTTGGTCTTATTTGACTTGATGAGATGCAATTCCAATCAGTTTCTTATCAATGCTTTTCATCCCACGGTTGAATTGTGGCCTTGTATCTCATTTTCCTCGTTTCTGAATGCAAAATTTTTCATTTTGCCTTGCACCAAAAAATAAATATAAAAAAAAAAAAAAACAACTCATAAGCCATACTCACAAGAGCTTGGTAGGTTAACACAACATTCTCTATCTGGGCTTGGAACCAGCAGCGTGAGACAACAAGGTCAAGACAGGCAGTGAATCACAAACTTTGTACAAGATTAATGGTCTAATTAATATCGGTTACCCTGAAAGCACCAAAAGTGACCACAGTGAGTGATTTAGGGGGAAAAAATAACCTTTATTACTGCACAGTGCACACCATTAAATGCTAAAGTCACTCAATGTATATTGAATGATTTCTATGTCCCCATAGAATCGTTATCAGTTATTCTGCCTTTCTTACATGATTCCATAAAACATTGACGAAAGCAGAACCACATTTTGTGAATCTGTCTTTACCTACCAACTAATTACATTTCTAATTCCTGTCAAAACAAAATAAATACCTTTCTTTTAGCTAATTGTAAGAATCTACCTGCCATATTTTACAATGCCTCTGTCTGTTAACCGATTCTGGGAAGCCAGGGTTAGCTGATGTCAATGGTCATCTGCCACCAAAAAAGAACATTGAATTGTTGCAACCATGTAATAGGTCCTCAGCTCCATCAATTCCTTCATTCATGCGTTGAAAGATCATGTAGGAGAGAGCTCTCCCCAACAGAAGCTGGATAAACAGACAGAGATGAAAAGAAGGGCTTCATGCCTTCAACCACTACCGAAACAGTTCTTGGAAAGACCACATTATAAACCTTGCAAAGATGTCAGACTCCAAGAACTCGATGTGTGCAGCACGTCCAATAAAGGTATTCAGGTTTCTTCCTTGGGATGTGGTGTCAAAGTTGACATCACAGCGCATGAAAATACGCTGTTCAGATGTTGGGGCCCGTATCTGATCCAAACAATTATTTAACATCTCTGTAAAGATTCTACTCTTCTTTGAGTAGTCCAATGATGATGCTTGGCACAAGTCAATTCTGGCTGAATGATATGGAACATAACCGTCCTGAAACAGAATGACAGAAATCAGCATCAGTGGAAGCAGTTCCAACAAAATGCTTCATAATGAGAAAGCAATATGAAATAACTAGCAACCTGCCCAGTCAATGATGTATTCATAAAAACAAGAAAATGAAAATTTAAGTATTACAACTACAGTCATCAGACCTTCACTCCTTGAAATGTATAAAATTGTAAATGTCACTTCATGAAATTTTAACCATCCCTTGTGTTTAGAAAAAAAAAATGGGTCTAACTATTTAAAGAAAACAAATAGCTTAGGAATAAACCTGACTGAGAGAGAGAGAGAGAGAGAGTCTATTTAGACTGTCCAGGAGAAGCGAAAAAGAAAGAAAAAGTGTTACCTGTGGTGAGGATAAAAGGATTATATTCTTGAAGTTCTCTAGTGTCTTTTGCTGAAAAAGAAAAGCAAAGTTAAGCCTCAAAGGGGAAAAATGGTTCCCAACAAGAATGCATCAGTCTACATTAATTGTGAAAGGTATTACATCATAGACAATCAGTATAAAAGGGTAATCTAGTTCCAATACCTTGCAAAGCTTGTAGAAGAAAGTATTGTGAAGTTCTGGGTCATCAGTGAAAGTTAGCTGGTGAATACACTGTGATCCTTTGAGCTTCTTTAGAAGCCACAGTCCGGAGTTGAATAAAGAGTTTGAACTGTATAGATACCCCAAGTGCGGCCCAGATATTGAAAGGTATGTATAGAGGTATTTCAAGTATGGTTCCATCATGGTCTCTGGGACAAAAATAAGCACATCTTTTAATATAAACACAATGCATAAAGAAAGCAGCTGAGGTAAGAATCAAAACCTGTCAAGGCAGTTCTTATAATAATATTCCCAATGGAATGGCCAACAAAACTAAGCTTGATAGTTCTGAAGCCTCCAGATCTTGACATTTTGTCTATTTTCTTTCTAAGAAAAGATGTCACTTCTTCGGCCAGCCTTAAACCCATTTCTCTGAAGTCTCCAGATGTTTTGTCCTCATTCGCCTCTGACATGAGGCACTCTGCTCGAGGATCTATCAGAAGCCATTGATTCCGAACAAGCCGTAAATCCAGATGATGTCCCTATTTATGTTTAGTTTGAGTTAAAAGGAAATTGAGCCCATTGACCCATGTTTTGAACCATAAAGCAGATGCAAAACATTATGGAAAAAGTAAAAGCAAATTTTTCTAAAAATTGAACTAGCAAAAAGAAGCAGAGTTTCCGCCCGGGTCAACAGGTCGTTCACCAATTCAATGGTTTTGGCCGAGGACCAGGTATCGGGTATAATAGAACCGGTTGCCTGGACAGTTTCCGGTCCAAACAGTCCACCTGTCCTGGTCAATAGCGTTTCAAAAACATTGGTTTGCAATTCAACCAATCTAACTGAGGCCCGAGTCTTATTTAGTGGATCAGCTGCAATGCTGCTCATGACACGCAATCTTCTGGTGGGACAATTGGTCTCACAATTCAAGAGAACTGGAAACACCTGGAAGGCATACACCAAAAACTAGATTATAATGGAACCAAACCACAGTAGAGACTCCCCCTCTCCTTTAGTGGCAATGTTCATTTGTGCCACTCTTGAGGAGCACCCAATCAAACTCACGAGGCAATGACAAGGGGTCTAATACCATTGACAACCATCTGGCTTGCCGGTCTTTTCAACCACACCATTCATTCAAATGTAATCTCATCCGCATGAAATGGTTCATATACATGTGTACATCCAGTATGTTGGTAACACATATTGACTTCCCTAACATCATTATGTAACTACTCACAGACAATCCCAGCAACTCTTGCCAATTTGAAAAAGAGTGGAAATTTTCACATAGAGAAATGAAGCATTTATATTTTTGTGAGAAAATATATTTATATGTCTAGCTTGTCAAATCATTATAGACCTAAACAAGCTATAAATATATAAAGGATAGCCATCTCAACTAAATTTAATTCAACTAAGCCTTGTGCCAACCATATAGGGTGAGTTACATGGATCCTGTTCAGCCGTTCCACTCTATTTGGCTAGCCATCTATAGAACATAAATTAGGAAGCATAGATTTAGGCCTATCTTACCAAAGGAAAGAAAATATACCTGAAACCCATGCACAAAGACAACAACCCTTAAAACACGTACATTCTTTTGAGGGCCAGCAGAAGATAAATTGCTTACAGCCTTAACCATAGGTCCCATAACTGTGTTAGATGCATCTCTCTGGTCAACTGAGAAGTATGAATTGCCACTGATGGTACGGCGGGGAGTATTCAGCACACGTTCCACGATTATAACAGGAATGCGTAAGGGGTCACCAAAAATATGCATATCTTGAATTGACCGATTGTTAATCTGCTTGTCAGCCACATCTTCTCAGATTCCCAAGTGGAATTCACAGTAAATAATAGGAAGCAATAATGCAAGGACAAAAGAACTCACTCTCATCTGTGCTATACTTCGCCGATGCAGCTCAGCACGTGCAATTGCAGTCTCAGCTGACTGAATACAGAAGTTATTCCAGATTAGGGACTAGTCACTAGTGCAATGACAATTGAATAAGCTACAGCCTCACAAAGAATGTAATTCTCAGGGTAAATTACAGGCAGCCACCCTGTACTTGGGGGATAGTGACACTTAGGCCCCCAAACCTTGTTTTGCAACAAAGACCCCCCCCCCCCCCGAAAGACCCCTGTACTTCTAGATTCCAGCACTACACCCCCACTGTCGGCATTCCTTCAGTTCACAGAAGATTCCCATGTGACTGTCATGTATGTTTTTAAGCATTTCTAAAACCCAAAATTACCCTTGTGTCCTTTTAGAGACTATTTTGCCCTTTAACTTTGTTTTTTTCTAAGATCCTTACTCTTACCCATCTCTCTTATTTTTCTCTCAACAGAGTTCATTTTGAGAATAGTGAAAACTCTGTTTCTTCTTTGGCAAGGGTTTGGAAGCAAGTAACCGAGTACAAAAGAGATACTGTCCATTAGCATGTCCATTTTCGTCATTTTGATGACTTTTGTTCTCAATCTATTGAATCTCAAATGGGCAATTTAGTAATTTTATCTTCACTATCAACCCCATTAAAGGAGTACGGGGCAAAGTGATGGAGTCCAGAAGTTCAGGGGGTCTTTGTCACAAAAAAAAAGAAAGAAGCTCGGGGGGCTAAGTGTCGCCCCCTAAGTACAGGGTCGCACTCTGTAATTTATCCTTGTTTTTATGAGCAAAGATCTTATTAACTTGTCTGTATTTTCTAGGACTTGTGAATGCAATTACATCATCACTTAGTTTCCGTGCAAGTGAAACTTTCCCACGAACACTTTGAGATGTTTCATCCCCGTTACTTTTCACGTAATGATGGGGCATTTCAACCTTGGAGTAGACCATCCATATTGACCACTCAGCCTTTCGATCATTCACCCATGAATCACGAAGGTGTTCCAGAATCTTTGTCTTGTTATCCCTAGAGCAAAACATATCAGTATTTATCATTTAAAAATGAACAGAAAACAATGTAGCTCAATCTACCACTGGCTTCAAATCATAGTTGAACTCATAAAACTGCAGTTTTTTTCTGTGTTTGATAACCATTCTAGATCTCAGAAAAATGCTAATTAGATGATGACATTTTGTGGGAAGCCCATATGGGTTATACCCCCCCCCCCCCTCTCCACACAGACACTGGAAAAAAAAGAGCACACTCACAATCATTATCACATGTTTGGCTTTGGCAAATGTGAATGTGCAGGTAGTACAGAAAATATACATAAGAAAACTACATAAAGAAGTCCCCAATGATGCTCAAATTAAAAAGAAAAATAAATAATTTTGGCAAGACAGAGTAGCAACAAAGGGCTATTTTGGTCAGACAGAAAGTAGTCACCATTAGCTGTTCACTGAAAGCAAAGAACAAATAAATGGAGAATACAGAATACATTCCTTAACAATGAGGAAAGCATTCTCCAAAAACATGGAATGCACTCAAAAAGTTTTGGTCATGTTTTAACATTTTAGCATGTTCTTCAAGCATTTTTTGTAAAAGGGGAAAAGGAATTCCATAAACAAGGTGGAGGTGACGGGTTCGGCTTCAGTCAGGACAAAGCCAGTTCGAGCACCCTTTACTGCCTTGCATTGAGAATATCTCCATACTTGTATGCTTTATTTTATGAGGAGATATTCCCAATGCAAAGGTGGAAATGGCTGTTAGAACGGTGTGGGCACAGCTTTGCCCTGATAGAAGCCGATCTCGGAGGTGACTAGAGTTACATTTTTCTTTTTTGATAAACAACAGAAATTTCCATTGAAGGCTATCTTAGCACCTCTTTAGGTTGTATTTGTTTTTCCTTTTTAATATATTTTCGTTTTTATCATAAAAAAAAAAACATTAAAGGCTGATAAGATTACAAGGAGTACAGAAAAGAGGAGATAAAACAGTTTATCTCCTCAAACCAATAAGAATAATGGGTTGATCCTCTTCCTACTTTTACTCTCATAGACTCCCGTTCAAATAACCTCATCCTTCACACTCATAATTTAACCCCTCTCATACAATCAGCATAACGAATATTAAAATTCCTACTTCACCACTCACCCTCATTACAAGTTCCCCTCATTACTGAATTATTAAGAAATCTGTTTTTTTATAAGTAAAAGTTCATTAAAATTTCATTGAAATCATTAAAGATAAGCAGCTGTTACAAGCTTCCCAGAGGGAGGCGTGAGGTGCAGCCTCACTCTTAAAGAAAAAAAAAACAGCAGAAGAATTACAATTGAGCCCAAACCAACTGATCTCTAATTACCCCTTGCTTAGCTAAAGAATCAGCCAATGCCATTAGCTAGCCTCCCTCCCCACCCATTGTATAACCAAATTCATCATCTATTGTGTTAACCATTTGAACTTATTTATTTCATCTCTATAACACCGTATCACTGAACCTGGATCTTATAGCCAGCCAACCACCACCTTGCAGTCCCCTTCAATCACCAGGTTCTCCAATCTCATCTCTTCTGCAATTTAAACACCTTGTAGGACTGCATACAGTTCAGCCTTTAAAGAGTATCCACTCCCCACCAGTCCTGACTCCTGAATAAAGTGCTACTATATACCCTTCCTTATCTCTTATAGCCCCTCCAATTCCAGAAGGACCTGAGTTGCCTTGACTGCTCCCATCAAAACTTAATTTCAGAAAACTTTCAATGGGAGGAGGCCGAATCAACCTTATTGTAGTCTTCAGCACTGAACTAGAAGCCACTGAAAACCAGTTCCTCCAAATATCAGCAAAGGAGAACTATCTAAACAAATCATGAGTCAGTAACCAAATAATTTGTTGTTTGCTTCTCTCCTTCTCTTGGAAGATTCTAACATTTCCTTCTTCCTATAGGTCCAAATCGCTACTGCTCTAGTGCACCTCCACATTATTCTTCCCCTTTTCTTCGGCCAAGCAAAAGCAGATGGATCACACAGCATCTTAATCTCCATTGGCACATTCTCCTGCACCCAAACAAAGAGAAAAACCAATCCCAAATATATGCAGCAAAGGAACAAGAAATTAGTAAATAGTACCAAGATTCAACATCGGATTTACAAAGAGTGCCCTAGTTTGGGGAAATATACAAAATAAACCTCTTATTGAGACATCTGCTTTACTTCCCTGCACATTCCACCCTCTCCTTTACACAGAGAGATACACAACAAATATAGAATTGTCGATTATAGACCATGTCACTATAAATATAAACACATTCATATGAGGCTCCTAAATTTAGAAACTTTAAAGATTCGGTCTCCTATGATCCCACTCCACCTCTAGCTCCTATTCCTGCACCATGCTTTGGATATGGAACCTTGTTTTACTAATGAAAGGAGACAGAGAGAGAATGTGCATTCATAGTAAAACAAAGAAAGAAAGGGATGTGCCCTTATTATGTTGTCAAAGATGTGAAATGTAAAAGATAAAGAAGAGAGAATGTTTGAATGTATTAATTACAAAGAAAACTAAGGGGCAGAGCCCCTACTCTGGTTGCACCGTTGCAGTTAGATAAGTGGTTACAAAGGATTTAGAGGGGAGAAAAGAACAAATGAAAGGGAAAGCACCTCATTTTCCACAGAGAGGAATGATGTTTTGTTTTGCTCAGAGATCAGGAGAGAAGGACGTAACATGGGCCTCTTGTAAAGAGAATTATGAAGACTACTAGTTCAAGCCATAGTTGTCAAGGCAACACCTAGGCAGGTGCCTAGGCGACAAGGCACTCGTGGAGGATCACCTCGCTTAATCACCAATCTAATTTGTGATGGTGCCTTGAAATACTTTTATATTCTTAATATTTTGAAAATATCAGTGTTTTAAAAGAGCAAGGTGCAAAAAAGTGCAAGGGGCATTTTGTACCCGCGGCATGAGGCGAAGGCAAGGTGCGCGCCTTTTTTGAAGCAAGGTCAAAATTGCAAAAAATGCTAACAGTTCTGCTTTCACAACCACATTTTCCTCCAGAAAATTGAGATCCTTTACACAAACCACCAACTCCACCCACTTACCACATTTTACAGCCACCCATCTGATCAACCATCCACCCTTCATCAACAATAGAGAGCCCCAATATGCTTTATATCTTTTCTTGATCCACCTCTTCCGGAATACAGTCTAACTCCATTATTGAGCCAACTTTCATCATCTTTGTTGTTTATTTCAGTTTGCTCCCACAAACAACCTCCTTGGTCAGCAACATTGTGGCACTCGTCATCCAATTCCTTAATAGACAATATAAGTAGGTTCTTACTCCCTTCAGCCATTATTTCTTTCCTTTGCCCAAATTTGGTATAGATGCTTCTTTTCTGCCTTTATCATGTTCTTTTATAAGTTATAATCAATGAGCAACTGTTAATGAATCCAGTCTTGCTAGGTGCCTGGACCTGGTTCAATCTGGCTCCTGAGTCAATTAATTCTGCTTCCGAACCTTCTATTAAGAATCTTTGCTACCTTCTCAAAACAATGGCTTCAATCACCAACATGTCAACTCCATCTTGAATTGACCTTTGGAAATTTTGGATTTAAAATTTGAACTTTTCATTGTTTTTATTTCTTCCTTCCATGTGTAGTCTTAGATGCCTCTCAACAGGTTGCAACCTACAGCTGCAATTAGCGGTCAACCAATCCCACCTAACCCTCCTAATACCTTTGTAGTCTCACTCTTCCACATCTCCCCTTGTAAGGAGCATTTTTTTGAAGGTAAATAAAATTTTTCATTAAAATAAAAGAGAGTACAAGAAAGGTGACCAGCAGTCACCTGAGAGAAGGAAAAAAAACAAACACAATGCTCCCCTTATAAGGAGCATTATGCTCTCATTATAACCTCCAGCAACCTTTCCCTGCTCTCTCTTCTCCACCATTGTCTTGTTACTCTCTTTTCCTTCTTCCCTAAGTTGGTCATTAGCTCTTCCAACTCTGCCTTCCAATGGAGTATATCCTCTATAATATTAACTCCAGCCAAGAATGTGTATTAGGCTCTCCTGAACTTGGGTATACTTAAAGTCTAGGGGACCTTCATTATCTCTAGCCAGATTTCAGACCCAAAATATAACAATGTATATCTTGTACCTGCCACAACGTTGGCTATTTGAGGGGGGGGGGCTGATCCATCTTTCACCCTAATACATTTAATGGACCACTTGTACTCTTTAGAGCCATCAACCCCTAAGAAACCCCCATAGAGGTTTCCAAAGTTCCAGAAAACCTCTTCACTCCACAAATACAGCAAAAAGCCAAAAATATGAACCCAAATGAAATCCAGCACATCCTCCACTACAACATTGGCTACATCTTGTACCCGCTACAATGTTGGTTATTTGAGGAGGGCACTGATCCATCGTTCACCCTAACACATTCAGTGGACCACTTGTACTCTTTAGACTCATCAACCCCTAATAAATCCCCATAGAGGCTTCCAAAGTTCCAGAAAACCTCTTCACTCCGCAGATACAGCAGAAAGGCAAAAAAATGAACCCAAATGAAATCTGGCACATCCTCCACTATGATTCAAACTCCTTGTTTTCCATCCATGGCTCTAGGTGGAGTAACATCCTTGCCAAGTTGCATGCCCATGTACTGAGTATGTGCTTAACCTCCAAGGGTATCTGGCTGAACGGAGCATGAACAGCAAGTTCCAGCCAAGCAGCCATCCATTCCCTTGACCGTAACTCTGAAGGGAATTTTCCACTTCTTCGATGATCAAATTTAGATGCTCTTAATGGACTTATATATTACAGTTATAACAGCTTAGAGTAACCACAGGCACAGTATTGCAGACATTTCATTCGTATGCTGCAAACCACGAGCTCAAGCTGTCAGACACAGATGGGACATCAAGCTGCAGAAGCAAAACGAGCTGCTGGGCCACAGTACAAAAGTAAGGCCTGCAGACAATAGAAGCAACATACAGGCATGTGAGATATGCAGAAGCATCCCACACACAACATGTGGTAAGATAATAGAGGTGAAGGCCATTACAGCCTGTGCAGGCTGATAACTCCCCACCCTAGAATCTGGCATGTGTCCCTATCAAATTGGCCTGGATGTGCAAGTTAACTGCCTTGAGAATATTCTGGAATTTCTCATTTCATGCATGAATGAGGCCTCCCCTTCTATAAATAGTAGTCCCCCTCTGATGGAGGAGGGACAGGCTTTTCTCCCATTGATTCCCCCCCCCCCTTTAGCTCCTGTTTACCCTTCTATCAAAACCCTTCTCTAACTGAACCCTAATCATCATCCCCTTCTCAACTTCAAAACCTAGACCACCACTGCCACCGACATTTAGCATCCAAGTTGACCAGGTCAAAGCAACTCACCAACCATGCCTTGCAAAAAATTTCTCGACTCTTCCTCTCCTTGATTGCCCATCTCTAAAAAGTTCATGAGATTTGCCTTTAGAGTGCATTTACCCCTAATTGGCCATTCCCAAAGTGCAGCAGTGTCCCTGAAGGAGCATTCATTCCAACTTGTGGATATACCATTCCAATTAAGATTTTGCCTCTAGCAAGCATTCATCAGCTGCCTTATATTGGCAAACATCATGAATCAAAGTAGAAGATTAAAGGGAGGGAAGAAGAGAAACGGACCTACGCAAGCATTGATAGTACCGACATCAACACCAAGAAAGACAGAACGAGAAGGTGAATCAGTGGCAGCCATCTCAAGGGAGATAGAGGAGCTGCAATTGGAAGAGGAAGAGAAGTGATGGTGAGGATAATGGAGCTCCTGAAGGCCTTGGAGGCTTAGTTATAGATCAAATAGGCTTGGGCAAGAGCATGGACATGCCCAACACCATTGGTTAGCAAAACAGCTTGCAAAGTAGGCATCCGAGCCCTTAACACACTGCCAAGCACGTCACATTGCAAAGCACACATAAGCATTTCACCGAGCAATTCAGCATATGAGAGGGTGATACATGTCAAGAGAGCACGCGAGGACTTAGGAAGAACATCCTGTTTAGTACAAATTTCTCCGTGCTCCACTTGTAACCACTTGTGCTGAACTGGCATAACTAACTAGAACACTTTTCTGACAAGAATATTCTGGAATCAGGCACATATTGCATGACAAACACATACAAAAAGGGCAGTGTGACTCTTGAACACACACAGAAATACACCAAGCATACCACTCCTTACTCGCAAGCCTACTGTCTTAGCTCTCTGGAACATCCTTGAGAGATCTCCTCTTGTCTCCAGAACCCTAATGTCTCCCCTCTGTAACCTTGCAACTTCCTTGCAGAACCTGTGGAAACACTTCTTGCACTCACTTTCGGTTGTAGAATTCCCCAGATCTACAACTTTCACTTGCCAGAGTCTGCAAAACTCCCCCGAGTACATTTTGTCGTCTCCAACTTTCAGAACTCTAAAGACCATTCTCCCACCACTGCCTTAGACCTGGTCTCTGAGAGTCAGCTGAATTCCTCACTCAAAACAGTCAAGATCTACCAGTTGAACCACTGATAGTCTGGCAAGAAGGATAGTAGTGAAAAGAAAGCTTTAATGGGGACATAACTTGCCATGCTAAACACATTTTTTGGTTTATGGAGTACATTGGAGCCACTTGTTGGGCTAGGGCTGCCTTGGTCATTTTGAATATCACAAGGGTTTGTAACACATTATGTTTTTGTTGATACAAATAATTTCAAGATTAAGCATGGCACTTCAAGTATGTAAAGTAGGCTGTGCTCACTGCTCACTACCATAATGAAATCTCAAAAGGTAGGTAGGTAATAGCAATCAGTGTTTTCCCTTCAGGTATACGGAACAAGGGCCAAGCTTACAATACTAAAATATTACTGAGATAATACCATACAATTCAATTATGCTTCAAAATAAAGAAAAGAAATGTATTGAGAAGATAGACTTAAAAAAGGAGCAAATTGAGATGGAGACATAGGGTATAACAAACCTGTGGAATTTCAGAAATGCATTCCACAGAAAAGAAAGTTGCTTCCCCACTGAATTGAAAGTGCTTAGAAGGTTATCCTTAGAAAGAGACTGGAGCATCTCATCAATAGCATGATTTGGTTTCTGGTTGACAAGAGAACTTGAAAGATTAAACAGAATCTACAGCATTGATACAACACATGATATTATGATAAAAGGGCACTAACTGTGCTGACCAAAATCAAGCAAGTACCTCAAAACCATTTTGTGGCATAGCTGCTGCATGCCTTGCTGTTACTGTTACATCTTCAGCATCCACAATACTCAGATCTTCTTGCAAATATGTGCTGATCAATTTAAAGTCACCCAGATTGGACATAACATCAGTTAAGTCTATGGTTTGATCAATTGCTTTGCTAAGCTTCTGTAGTTCCTCAAGAAGTATGTCACGAGCAACCAGCAGTTCTTTAAGAAATGCAATTTGATATGAATGGACAGAATCCCTTTGATCCAATGCCTGATAAATTATGTGTCAAAATTCAACTCTTTAAAAGGTTTTAGCAAGGATTATTTTTAAGAACCAGCTAAAAAAGATTAGCAAAAAGCACTTCAAAGACAGCAAAGCAGAAACTTGTATAAAAGAAATTATATTTCCTAATGCTCATGTTATGATTTTTGCATCTTTAAGTTGTGATCGAAGTTCCAATTACTGCTTTCTAATGCAAGAAGCAAGATACATCTATGCAGCAGACTTTTAAAACCCCCTGTAAAACACAACCCAGGGAAGAATATAATATGTGTGTTGGGGGGTGAGGGGGAACCAAGACATTGTAATCCATGGATTTAAGATTCATCCAAAGATTCAAAATTTTGACATTTCAAGCCATTTTCAGGAAGAACCAAAAGAGATATATGGAGAATCTGAAATCCCTAAATGTTGGCACTAAATCAAGATAAGAAATTGGATAAATCTTGATAAGGATGAGAACCACAAAGAATAAGATCATTTTTACTTAAAAATAAAGGAAAATTCATCAAAATAAAAAGAGCATTATAAGATACAGCAAAAAAAAAGCTTACAATTTCTCAATTTCTCCCCTTTAACAACACCATCCAAGATAACACACCCTTAAACCCCCCTTCTAAAGCAAAAAACAAAAAAAAAAACAAAACAAAACAAAAAAACACATATCAGCATCTAAAACCAAATCAAAAACCATTACCAATTCAAATTCAACAAGCACCTTGGAATAAGATCTCAAGGAGAGAGAAAGTAGGTAAAATAAGAATAAAATGGACAAGATAGAAATTGAACTGCTCAATTCTTGGAATTTCAATGGCATCTAAAAATGCAATCAAATTTAACCAAAATTTTCAGTTTCATAATAGTCTGAAACATGGTTCAGAATCGAGATTTAAAATTTTAAGTCCCTGATGTAATAAGATATCATTAAAAATGGAACAAAGAAACCTAGAAACCTAAAATAACCAATACCACATGTCCAAGAAGAAAGATCATACACAGAAAACCATCAATGCTTCAATAGAAGGCACAGAATTAAATATAAGCATGAAAAGAATACAGAAAACAAGAATTGAATGAGAAAGAAGTGCATACTTTATTGGACCCAACACAATTTTCACCAGCAACATCTCCAACCGAATAATAATCACTGGAATATATCAGACAAGCAAGTTATTCTAACAAATCAAAAGAGAAGAACAAACATTTTTTTACTAACAACCAACAGCAAGAAAATAATAAAAACAATGTACAACCAAAACCCGGTTAACAGTAACAAACCTGGATACCATCTGTGAGGAACCATGGGCTCCAGCTTTCAGTACAACATGGATGCTTAAATCAACAAGTACTGCATGGAAAGCATCAAAAATGACAGGGCAATATGAATGCAAACCTAGAAGAGCCTTGGGAGGAAGACGGAATTCATGGACTGCAGCAGGAATTGCATCCAAAGATGCCTGCATGTCAGACCTGCACAGAATGTACACATTGATTAGGGTTATGATATGATTCAATATGGATATCAACATTGCAATATGCACATAATAAATTGTCCAGAGAAAGACAAAATGACCAAAAAAAACAAGCAGCTGCCATTTAAATAAGCAAACCCATAAAGTAAAGTCTTTATACTTACCCCTTCTCCAATATCGGAGCATACAGAAGCTCAAACTTTAAAATCACAGCAGATGTAGATGGGCCCTAAAATAGTATTGAAGGTCAGTAGCCAAGCAAACATGCAACAGAAGCAACCATCTTAGCAAACAGAAACACATAGTGGTAAGACGATAAGTCGGGAAGTGATATTGCTAGCATCAATTAAGAATTTCAGACAAATCTCACCACGATACTACTAACAGGCAAGCTTCTTTCTTTCTATATTTCCTTTTTTTTATTTTTTGAATGAGGTGGTGGGGGTGGGGGTAGCTGGAGAAAGTACCTCACATTTATAAAGAGAGAAAATAAATGAGACCATGACAGAGAGAAGAACATCCTGTCTTGCATATTTGATCCTGAAAGGCTGTGTACAAAAACTGTTGTCTGTGTCATCAATCCTCCAACCTCCAAGGATATCATCAGGACCCACTTCAGATGCTGCATCAGCACTCTAAGGTATTACTTTCCAGCCATAAGTTGTTATAGAAGTCTTAAAAATATAGGAACAGCAATACATTAATGCAGAAAGAACAAAGTAATTCACGAAATGCTAATATTCAGTAAGAGAAAACCAAATACAACTGTCAAAAAAAATTCAGGACTCAGATTTCCTGGTGCAACTAAAGGCCTACACATTAAAGCGAAAAAGAAATACTACAGGAATAACCCACCCTTCAGTTGGGAAGGTGGGGTGACAGTTAAAAATTTCAAATCAGAACAAGAAGAGGGCAAAACCCCAAACTTTATAAAAGGTGATAGTGTTTTGGATATGAAGTTTCTGAAAAACTCAAACATTAAAATAGCCAATTCCCAATTGAACCAAAAGTTCAAATAGCCAAAGGAGAGGCGCAATTACTCTCTGTTTTTAGAAGGTAATTGATATGAAATAAATTATATGAAAAAAAAAAAGAGGATTGAAAACGAGATGATGTATAAAGATGCAAAGCATATGAACAGCTTTGCATCCCATACCCAAAAATAAATAAGCAAACAGTCAGATATGAGATGACACCATACAAAAAATCCCTCCCAACCCCAGATCCGCCTAAACCATCTGCTATTGAGTTCAGTTCCATTAGTATCCAATTCCATCATATTTATACTGCTCTACAAATTATTGTTTCCCTTATTTCATTCATGAACAAGAAGTGACCCAATCTCCATAGAGACCATTTCCCACTCTTAGATTCCATCTTGCATTTGTCAAATCAATGGCTAGCAAGGAAATACAAAAGGTGCTTTCCATGGAGATTCTGATGAGAAGTACATTAGCCTCAATAAAACTCCAGCTATCCCTGTTGGAACAGGATTCCCAATTGACCTACTATAAAATTGGAGTTCTCTGATTCATTGGATAGGATGTGTAGCCATGGCTCTAAGGGGATTTGGAGATGACTATAGACTCTTAGGGAAGGAAGCATAAAGGAAGAATCTTCCATGGCAGATCCAAGACAATATAAGGCCCTTTCAGACTGGAATTTGATTTGGTAACCACAAATATAGGAGTATTTAGTAACAATCAAAAAAAAATAGGGTATTTAGGGTTTACAAATCTTTGGTTGTTTAACTCAGTACTACTAGTTATCTAAATGTGGAATAAGGGAATTTAGTCCTCAAAGGCAGGTGGGCCTTGTACATATGAATAATATAATATAGGAATCCTGGTAGAGTTTCAAAAACCACCAAAAGTTGCTTTCAAAATTTAAAAAACAAAAACAAAAACACCAAAAGGATAGTACTATGGCAGTAGCATAAGGGTGCAAATGGATCGGATCATGATCCAATCCTATTTGGTCGAATTCGGATCACCCCAATTCGGATCGTCGGGTCGGATAATAGGCTCGGATCATATTCGGATTAACCCCCCTTTACAATCTGATATATATGCTATATATTTATTTATATAAATATGTAATACATATATATATATATATGTTATTTATTTATTTACAAATATATTATTTATATTGTATTTTTGTAAATTTGTTATATTATTTATTTTTTATAAATAACAGGTACATATATGATGAAAATAATTAAAAATACTTGTATTTTTTGTTTTTCTTTATTTAAATTGGTATATTTTATTTTTTCTTTTAATAATTTATTAATTTTTTAAGAAAACAAATCAGATCTTAATATCTGACTTCCCGATTGGATTCTAATTCAGGTCCATGTCTATCAGATCCGATCAGATCTGCAATTAACAGTGTCGGATCAGATTCAGATATACCCTGATTCAAATCCGATCCGATCCGCTTGCATCCTTAATGAGGCAGCATCATAACAATTGAGAAGCATTTATGTTGTGATCATGAAACACTTTTTTGTGCATATCTGGCTTTGTATATTGAGGTCCATGTTAAAGAATAAAGATTTGAACATAGATACTTGTGATAATGGATAATAGTGTCTAGTAACATCCTGTTTCTTCAATGAACCACAGAGATTTAGGTACAACTAAATGATACAATTCAGTAGCCCATCTTGAAGGAAAATGCACTCCATCAAAAGGGGAAAGAACATTTGATCCTAGAGGTGCAGTCTTCATCTGATTATTCCACATTTTATTAATAGAGAAGGATGCTTATGGTTTTCCTCAGTATGAGGAGCCTCAGTTCATTCAAACCAATCATATGTTTTACCCAAACAAACCGGATATGATTTCTGTGGTGGACAATCTCCTTAATTCATTGCAAATTCATGCAAAGATATAAGTTGAATAGTGTAAAACCCTTTCTATCAAACTATCAGATACAAAAGTAGCTGTATCAAGTAAGACTTTAATTTTTTGGTTGCCTTAACTTGTTTAACAGAAAATGTAAATCTTTGGAAAATTTCTTTAACAACTTGTTTAACAAAAAATGTAAATCTTCGAAAATTCCTTTAACAACAGTTATTTTTTACTTAATTACCAGAAAATATCAAGTCAAAGAGATTTCGTGGCATCATTCATCAAGAGAGAGAGAGAGAGAAAGATTTATTGGCATGTATTTTATTGAGTTTGAAGAGAACTCGAAGATCACCGTGAACTTCAATAGTTGAAAGGAAGACTTAGATTTTTTTTTGGTCAATAACTTGAAGATTTCATTAGAATATGCAAGAAGTAGAAAGTAAAAGGAAGACTTAGATTCTTTACAGAAGAAACCAGAAGGAAGGATGTAAATCTTTTTTTGGTAAAGAAAGAAGGATGTAAATACGAGTGCTCAAATTCAGTGAAAGTGTTATGAGTTATGACCTATCAGAACTCCTAAATCCAACCACTTACTGGAATACAATTAGGGATGATGAAGCAAAAGGATTTAATACTCTTTTTAGACCCAATTCATGTTCAGAGACATTGGATTCAGTAGAAGACATGAAAGTTTTCCAGTCCTATTGTTGTAGCCCTGCTAATTGTGAGAGGATATCAACAAAATTGCTCAAAAGTTTTCCTGTTTGTGGCTTTCTATTTTCAATTAAAATAAAAGCTTTCCCATTTTTTTCATTGTTACAAGTGTTTCATAATCTCATTAAGTAGCCCTTATACAGTCCCAACATTTTTGTTGATCTTTGCTCTTAGAAGCAGGAACAAAATTTCTGACTCTGTTTTATGCATCTATGAATACATATAGGCACCAACATGTTTTAGTGCTGAAGAAAAAACAGCATAAGCTTTAGGGAGGCTTACGATATCAGAAAATCTTCTTTGGGGAGATTTTCCAAATTATGATGAAGGCTTGGCAAGAACACCATGCAAAGAAGTGTTTTTCAAAATAGATCTAAAGAATAAATTTCTTGTTCCTTACACATGGGTGGGGCATCAACCATTGGGATGGTAGCTGCCCTTGCTTATTTATAAGTTCATATCATGTTCGTAGTAGACCTGGAAAGCTGGGGAGCTATGCACCAAAACCCAACCATGCAAGTATGGGACTTTGGCTCACATTTAAATATTATACAATGAGAGCATTAGTTTTCAGTTTCTCTGACCAAATTCTAAGCTAACCAGAGAACGCATACCCAAGAAATTGATACTATGTAACTTCTGGCAGCAGTACCTTCATATTGAACAACTCTTGCAGGAGTTCCAGGCGAGGTGTAAGAACCGTCCTCCCATCTCATAGAAATCTTAATTTGATACCATCTAAGACGATAAGAGAAGAAAAGAATAAGAAAGCCGCATAAATTACTAAAATGAACACAATTACGAGTGCGTCAGTTCCAACTTACTATTCTCTCACAAGAAAGGACACATTTTGTCCACGAGAAATAAAAATGGCCCAACTAGTCAAAACACATACCCTTGCTGGAACAGGTCGAGGTTGTGAAATCTGTGTATGTAAACGGCAACCTCCTGTAACGCCTCCAACATAGCAGGTCTAACCGCTCGTGAGTTGGCATTGAGCAATTTCTTTGTAACACTTCTCTGATTCAGACCAATTAACAATCTGAACCGACGCAACATAAGTGACTAGCGATCCAAAATGACTTCAATTCTGGCATCCCTTCCTCCCAGTTTATTTAAACCAGAACAGGAACCTAATTCCCCTCCACACCTCCGAACCTCCTCCCTTGCAACCCAATTCCTCCAATAAAACAAAAAACCCTCCCTTGGACGTCATTCCATCAGCTGACACCAAATTAAGTAACCAAGCAAGAGATCAGATCCAAATAGCAATACAATCTTCAACACCACAGCAGATTCCTTCTACCGCAGAGTAAGAAACGCAAGATTCTTCGAACGAAAAGCACGCCACTTTGCAGATCCAGCTGCGGCGACCCCTCTGCAAAGGAATGAGTGTTTCCGCCCGCCGTTAACGATCTAGGGTTTTTGCTCTAGGGTCGAAGAAGAGACGGATAGAGAGAGGAAGAGACTAGAGAGAGTTGGGTTGTGTTGTTTTGAATTCATTGATGAGAGGGTTCTAGGAAGTTAGCTCTGAGTTTGGGTTTCGCGGCTGGAGGTGTGAAAACTGCGGAGGGATCAGAGCCGTCCGCGGTGAAGGACTGAAGATTAGAGATCTCTGGTGGATTGATTTGAGCCTGGAGACACTACTGGAGAGACTGATATTCATTGCTTTTATTAATTGCTGCGAATGAAGATTAGGATTAATAAATAGATTTTGGAAGTTTGTTATGATTTGTTTGCTTGAAAATCCACCGATATCTCCATCAGGCCATCTGGGTCAGCTATGGACCGCTGACGCATTCATGCCCTACGGTTCTGCTCGTAAAACTTAGCCAACCACTATACACCACGTCGTCTAAGTACACGTGGCTACATATCTCGTGATGACGTGGCGAATCATGATTGCGCCCGTATCGTCCGGTTTCAACGGAGGGATCGGAATGGATATTTTACAGCTGCAAGGCAACAGTAGTAAGAGAGTAACCTCATCGCGACGACTATCAGGTCAGACAGTTGGCACCTCTCTTTGACTATGCATAGTACGATGCTTCCTCTAGTGAGTGGACCCCACCTGAGACGTTGCCGTATGTATCGGCGTGATTGAATTGTTTTTGACCACCTGATGAAAAGTATTATTTTTTAGTGCGTGTAATAAATTTGTTTTCGTAGGGATGTCAACGGGTCAGATTCGATACAGGTTGAGCCGAATCCAACTCAAAACATGCCATAACCTTGACCCGACCCATCTCGGGAGGGCGGAGGGGCAATCGATCCGACCGGAAAGCGGATTCACCCCATACATAGTGCCCGTTTGGGAGGGTAAAAAACAACGGCTTCTGGCTCTTCAATGTGGGCCCAACACAGATAGCCTGTAAGCTATGTTTGGTGAAAATCAGCTGTTAATTATTTGAAGGCTGTTTGTTTTGGCCTCTTTTGATAGCTTATCTAAAACAGCTGAACCAATTTAATTGAATCTTCAATTCCGCCTACCAAACAAGCCCATAGTAATGGAATAGCCCTCCCCAATTTGAAAAGAGTATAAATATAAATATATACAATATAAATAATTAAAAACATACAAAATAATAGAAAATACAAGATTTTACACTATGCATATTGGTATTTATCAAGGTTTAAAAACCCAACCCAGATCTGAAACCATTATAGGCACTGGTTCCTGAGTTGATAGTTTTATCGTCTACTCAAACATATGGCCCGTTGTAATGAAAAATAAAAATAATTAAAATAAAAAATGGCCAAAATCGTTGAATAAGTTGATGGTTCGACCACTCGAGTCAATGGATCATTAGCCAATTCAACAACTTTTGGATAGGGACCAGTGTTACAATAAAACACCAATTGCCGAACGGTTTTCCAAGCCAAACGGTCTGAACTTTTGGGTCAACTACAGTTAAAAAACATTGGTCCAAACTGAAACTAGGCTACATTGTTAAATTGTTAATAGAGGTCAAAAAAAGCAATAGGGTAAGTTCTACACGAGATCAGGTTTAATGTGGGTTCACATCAACCCGCATCCTACCTTGACCCCGATAGAGTCCATTCAATGAATGGACCTGATGTAGCTCGTGCTTGGTGATTAGCGGATCTACATCTAGCGATGCAAACGAATAGGATCGGATTCGAATCCGATTTGACACTGTTCATGTTGGATCTGATTAAGTTTTATAGGGTTCGATTTGAATTTAAATCCTATTGGTAAGTTGGATCTGATCTGATTTAATTTGTTTTTTTTAATTAATAAATTATTAAAATGAAAATAAAATATACTAATTTAAATAAAGTAAAAACAAAAAATATAAGTTTTTTAATTATTTTTATCATGTATATGCTTTTATAAAAATAAATAAATAATATAATAAATTTATAAATATATAATTATGAATAAATAAATAAATAATATATATATATATATATATATATGTGTATCAGATAGAAATAATCCAAATTCGATCCGATCCGATCCGATCCAAAAATCTAAACAGGGATGATCCGAAATTGACCAAATAGAATCGGATATCGAATAGTATCGGATCATGATCCCATTCATTTGCATCCTTGAGTCCCTGACTACATCGACATGACGACACCGTAGCGATGGGCGGTGAGTAGCTCAATTGTTCAATCTCTCAAACATGGAAGCTAGTTTTTCTGGTTATCTTCACATTATCTTCAGTCTTTTTCTTTTGAAACACGACCCACGTGTCTAAATTGCTTCCCATGACATAATTAATCTATGGTTGTAAATCCCAAAACCTTTTTCCTTGGGATCCACGTGTACCGTACCTTTCCTCACACGCAATTGCCCTTATGATAGCATCAACATCATATCTACCATCGAAATTAATCTTCATTTTTGGAAAGGTTGGTGGATCTCATCATCTCATCTTATCGTCTTAGATTCATTTGTGGGTAAATATCCGGTACCTTGCAAGATAGTAACTTTTCTTTATATCAACCAATCGTTCCTGGCCATGGGTTAAATGTTTTTTTACTGGTTTAATTGATATATTTACCAAAATAACATTTAGGCTACATTTGTTTGATTTGATGGATTTTGATTTGAATTTTGTATACAATTCAAGGAATTATACTATTTGGCTTTGAAATTTTATAGTAAACACATCACACATGTTATCGGTGTTCTCATTTCTTGCCTCTATAGTACTACAGTCATGATTGACATTCATTGAATTAAAAACAAAATCCAATTCTAGATCCATGAATCAAAATAGTGCCCAATTGTCTTTTAGGTGATGTTTGGTATCATGGTGTATGTTGCGTACTTGTGTTTATGCATTGGAAATTGGTAGGATGGCAATTTCTATCCTACCCGATGGATATCCACCCTAACCCTCCCAAATAGGGCAGATTTTTTTTTCGTTTGAAGGATGGTTTTAGGATTCTATAATCCATATAGATACAAGTAGGGTACAGTATTAAGCTAAAGTCAATCATTCCCAACCCGCATATTGTTGAAAAGCATATAAACTTTATGTACCAAGTGTTGAATTTAATAATATTATGAATTTTATGTGAAAGACAATTGATAGTTTATGTCTTTTCTACGTGTCTTAATGAAGTAATTAGAAATTTTGTTGTTTATTTGTGTTATTCTACTTATTTATTGCTTATATATGACAAGAAATAATAGGAAATTAGATTCAAGTTCTAAATTCAACCTTCCCCTACCCCTAAATGCAGGGAGGGTTTTGCATTTCCATGTGCAGGTAGGGTTTGGATTCTTAAAATCCAACTCGCTACAGGTTTTGGGGCAAATACGAGTTGGGAGGTTAAGGAAGGCGGGCAAGTAGGGTCTATAATTTACAAAACCCTCCCCAACACCCCCNCCCCCCCCATTGCCATCCCTAGAAATTGGGAATAAAACATTATGAGCCATGCAACAATTGATTATTGTGTTTTATTACACATAAACGCCACTAGGCATCGCATAAGGGAAATGGAACACAATGGAAATATCAAAATGATGTTTATTCTAAAAGTGGGTTTCACATAACGTAATATAAGAGAAGGTACAAAACATTTGTATCTAATCAACCTACCAAACAAGATGTGACCATAATCATTTATGTGGCACTAACGTGTCACAGAAACAAAATCTCAAGAGACACATTGCATCACCACACAAAATACCACTTGGTGTAGGATCTAAGCATTAAGGGTCCATTTGGTTCACAAGAATAGGAGTTTGGAATCAGGGCATTCCAATCCTGTCCATCCAAACAGTTAGAATTAAAATTAACCATTCCCATTTATTGTGGAATGGTCATTCCCTCATCCTCCTCCTCAGGGTGACTCCCCCATCTAATTCTAATTCTGGTCTGGACCAAATAGGTGAGAGGAATAGACCCAACTATTTCGATTCTGATTCCAACTATGAACCAAATGGACTCTAAATTCTTTTTATTTTAAAAATAAATGTTTTTATTTGAACTACCCATGTAGATTTTTCCTTTTTTATATAGGATCCCTATGAAATTCCACTATTTCCAATTAATTATTACAACACTACAGAAAGCAAGTATTTATATAGTTAAATTAGAGTTTATGATCATTAATGCCCTAATTTGTATATTGTTGACTAAAATACCCCTATATTGTAAGGACAAATTTCACATACCATTCATGGCAGCCAAGCCTTTTCAACTATTAGATTTATCAAACAATTTAGTTTAATTTTTCGATTGGGGTATAATCATGGACAGCCAAATTAAGGGGCATTTGTTTTTTTGATAAACGGGGGCAGGTAAGTTGGTGGGTCTCATGGAAAAGAAAGAAACTCACACTTGTGTTTCAATATTAATGGATCTCACATAAAAGAACAATTCCTAATCGGCTCATTTACCTAGGTAAGTAATGTTCTCATAATACTTGGATATATAACTATTTTGTTCGCACGGAAAATTACTAATTCATAATAGGACAATATTGTCCCTCCAATAATTATTGCTTTATGGATAAAATGGTCATTATATAACTTTACCTAAGAAATAAAAGAACAATGGTAAGTACACTTATTTGAATAATATTTCCTAATAAACACTTGCTTGGATAAGTGCATTTACCCAAGTGAAGATTTACTTAAAAAATGAACGAGGCCTAATGTGCTTTGTTGCTTCCTTACAAGTATGATTTATAAATAGATCTAAAACTTCTTCTTCTTCTTCTCCTTCTTTTGCACAGGGAGATGGTTAGCATTTATTCAGGATATTTTTTGTTACATCAAATGGGTTAGGATTTATTTTTGTCATTTAAAATTACATTTTATGAACTCATAAGAAAACATGATGTAAGAGAAATATATGATTCACAAAACCTTTTAATAAATTCTTTTCTAAGGTATCTAAAAGTCATGAGAAATTTTAAAACTGGGTTGACCTGAATTGACAACTCCATACACAATTAGGAAATATTTTTCTCCTTTGTTGTGTTTATATGATATGTGCTCTTCACTTTGCTTAAAACCTAAACTAGACCTCAATTTGTCATATACTATCCAATTTAGAAAGTTTGTCCCATGATTCCCACTGAGAGGTTTAATTGTAAGAACCATGGTTTAAAATATCAATACAATGTGTCTAATATAAGGCATGTTGTATAGGTTTCCAAGGTGAACTGAACATGGCAAAGG